TTTGAAAATGAAACGGAACTATTCTCTGCTTAAGGACTGAATTGCATTAGTCAAGGCCGATTCTGTCGGCCGTCTATGGACCTTGCTCTCTTTTTCATCATAAAATCTAAAGTTCACGAAAAAACTTCTTTCATAGTAATTTGAAGAAAATTTTCCGATCCTTTTACAGTATTTTGTACAGATTTTATGATTATTTATCGCCATTGTTTAATCAAATATTTAAAATAAAACCCACTGCAATGGACCTGAGAAAAGGGTCTACACCTCATGGAGTCAATTTATGAGATTTTAGCCATTCATTAAATTTCGATTAAAATATAATAGAACGAGATCACCACTATTCTGAAGACATTTCATTACACGTGTTTTATGATTTGGAACAAACTTACACATTGATCAAACCCCAATGGCCATTTGTACTGACGTGAGTAAACGGCAGAGAAGAAGGAGCGGTAGCCTCGTGCGATCCGACAATACCTTTACAAAACTTAAAATTTGACCTTCAGACTGGTCATTAATGAATGCAATTAAGCTGGTTTAACGTGATATATCCCTTAAATATTTGCTGGTATTTGTAATGCTTTGTTTATGAAACGAAAATCAATGAAATTTGAAAAATGCACCGTCATCAGAATCATCCCCCCCTTTCTCCCCGAACCTAAACTTTCTTCAAAAATCCAAACTTTTGTGCATTGTGTGTAAACTTTCTGCTTTTGTTCAAAAAAAAAAAAAAAACATTCCTTATCGGGTGAAACATATCAAAAGGCAAGTCGTTCATGTTTGGACAGGTCGCATGTACATGTAAGTCCGTATGTACTGATTAAGGAGAAATGTCCGCTGGCACCTCTACTCTACTACTCTAGATGTGCCTTGTACCAACTGCCCAAGTCTTATCATCAAATCATATCTACTTCTATGATCTATAATTACATCTGGAGAGATTCCGCAACAGGCAGCTTCTTCATCTTCCTTAACGTAGCTGAGTGGAATTCTGGAATTCGAGAACAAATGATTTTGAAGAAAGGATGAATATTGTTGCGTTAAATGGTTATGGTTACATTTATCAGATGTTTACAGGATTAAAGTAAATTCTGTTGAATAAAAGCTGGAAATTAATGAAATGCGTGCATAATCTTGTTATGAGTCTACTAGTTTTGTATTAATTAGACAAGAGTGGTCGAGAGGAGGTTACTGTTTATTGGTTAGTTTCACAACCAAAAGACAAGCTGGACTTCTTGAACTTTCAAAATACGAAATAAATTATATTTTTATATTGAATGTTTTGCGGATAAATAAAGTAGAAAATTAAAATTTAGAATAGTAAAAAAAGTAAAAGAAAAAACTATCTAGGATCATAGACTTGTGAAGATTCTTTTATAATAATAGTCTATTATAATAACATAGCTAATGAAACTGTTCTACACTATCTAGGATCAGCGGTAAAATAACAGAAAAACGAAACTACGCGCTCATTCTCCAAATGTTGTGTGACCTCTCCAAATTGCCGTCTAGCCGTGTCACCGAAGCATGTCATGTCGACAAATTCACCACTTTCTGCCCCTCCCACCTGGTTTATTTCCACCGCGTCTAGAATGATTATGTCGGCATATGACAGATTATGTCGGCAGGTGAATGATTCACAAAAAGGGCAAAAATGAGCCTTCTCTAAGATGCATGACATTGGTTCTAGAGAGAAATTAACCAAAACATGTTAAGAATATTTTCATTTGGAACTCGTGATAGTTGTTGTATGCCAGAGAGGCCGCCCACCTTTTGAGAAGGTTCCATATGGCCGTCCCTTATCAACGCTCTTCTTCCATGGTACCCGTAAGCTTAAAGGCACTGAAGTCACGACTGTGAACATACGATAACATTAGTGACATATATACGTCCAAGATTACGTACGTCAAAGCAGTAGACATCACGTTTAGCGAGAGGACATTGAAATGGTAAGAAACCTACAGTATCATCAGAGAGCAAAATAGAAATTGACAAGTAGCTTAAAACATTAAAATATTTTAAAGTATGTTGAAATTTGATATCACGCGCAGAGGCTCTTTGTGGCTTAAAACTGCAAACGAATTTGTTTGGATCAACGAATTACAAAATTACCTAGAAAACGTATTTTTACACAGTCTGTCAAATGAATAGAAAGGGCCCTGTTGGCTGTGGGCTATAGGAAAAGACAGCGCAAACGCGATCAAAATCCGCGTTAGTGCAGTAATCCGTGTCACTGATTTGCCCCTTCACCTTGCAATGGAAACATATGTTATACATATAAGTCCTCCACTTATTATTTTCTTATTAAAGAAAAAACAATTTAATTGTCATTTTTCATTCAGGAACGTTTGATTGTCTTGCTCCTCTGTCTCACTGCCAGTCATGCCGCCCAGCCACCGGCCTGCGAGGCTCAGGTGGACTCCCTGGGGGCCAAGGTGGACGCCCTGATGCGGCAGCTGCAGCTCCAGCAGTTGTTCGTTGAGGAAAAAGTCAGATCAGACGCTGACTCTGGTATCAAACAAGTCCCCACCACCAGCACAGGAACCCGGCCTTATTTCAGCCAGAGTAAGTATGCCACTTGGGATAGTTTGAATTTTAGAAATTTGGATAGTTTGAATTTTATAATTTTTCAAATAAAAGGTAAAATATTAAAGTATGATGTTCTATATTGAAAGTTCTAGTTTATCTTGAACATTTTGCTCATTATTTCTTTTGCATCCATTTTTTTCTGAAATTTTGAGTGTTGTACTTGCCTGTATCAGAAGTGGTCAAGAAACGAAATTCCACTCTAAGCAGAGCCTTATACATACCTTCATCCTCCACAATGTCAGTATGGATCCAATGTTATAACGCTAAAATGTCTTCAAAATTGAATCCTCAAGTTCGTATAAACACGAAAACACTAGGGCAATCCTCTGCGGAAACCGCCCACAACTTAAGAAAGAATGAAAAGGGTTTTCAGGGTTTCTAAGACGGGATAAGATGATCAAACAAAGCTTTTTGCGTCATCCAGACCCATTGATGATGAGTCCAGACCATTCTCGTTATCTACTCAAAAATAACTTTGTTTAACAACTTATCAAAGCATATTGAAATCAGATATTTTATTTTACTAACCCAATACTTTTTTCAGCTCATGTTGGTGACACAGTCGGCAACATCAGACCAGTTCCTTCCAAGAAGAACATGTTCGACATCGGCTCCTTAATTGCAGTTCTCAACGGAGTCGAGTTCCGAGCCAAACGCCACACTATAGAGCTGAGAACTCCACACAAAACAAGCAAGACATTCCATGCCACTGAGCCGATTACTCTGCCCACTGTCCCACCTCAGGTAGAGTAAGCTCCACATGTACATACTCCTTGCTCTTTTTACATCTTTAAGTGTTCCTTGATTATGCATTGGCGCTGCGTTTTAGGTTTATGGTTTAACCAAAAAAAAATTATTAAGTTTGGCGTTGCAATCAGTACCAATGTGACCCCCCCCAAAAAAAAAAATAAATAAATAAATAATAATAATAATAATAATAATAATAATAAAATGCGCAGCATACAAAATAGGAAGTGCTCGCTGGTAATCCATATCACAACACAACACAATAAACATATACTTAACGCCATAATCCTTTCTTCTGACTTCAATTTTTGATTTGATTTAGGTGAAAAGCAAAGGAGACGTGACCAAACAGATTGCAGAAATGAGAGAATGGTTCAGAAATTTCCAGGACGTTAGTACGCGATCGGGCAGAAACTTTTACCCCTACTTCAAAAGCGTCTTCTGCTATCTCGAAGGGACGTGGCTCGAGGCGGACAAGAAAGACCCACTTTCAGCGTGAGTGACTTGTGCGTTTAAAGATGTCTTCAACTAAAAAATGTCGTCTGGATGATGCTTTCATAAAATCCATAACATCTTTTCGCCATTGTACCGCTTGTTTCAGTTAAAGATACGGACTTATGGTGCAAAATATTCCGCAGAATGGATTTCGATCACGTTTGCGTCGCTATCCTTTTCCCGATTACAGAAAATTTACTGCATTTCGAAAATATACTGCAACTTCTTCGTACATAAACTATATAAACAAATAACTTGCTTGGGTATCTGTACTAAAACTTAAGATAAAACAAAGGTGTTACACCGTAGTATACTGTATTCTCCTGTGTATATTTGCAACCTGAGACCGATTATGTACATGTATATAACATATGACTGTAATTGTCAATTTTTTTCTTTTGTAGTGACTTTTTGAACACACAGTATAATGTCAAATTCCAGGGATACACGGGAGCTTACGACGATGAAAAGTAAGTGAAATTGATCATTGATTCAGAAACTTTGGGTATAGGATATAATTACCCTGTATATGTGAGATTATGCTCAGGTTGTTGTAATTGTCTGTAAAAAGTTTTATCTTCTCTCTTCCTCTACCATTTCTATCGCTTAACAAATTATATGAAAAATAACTTGATGATACGTCGGTTTTTCACAGGTACGACTATCTGCCCACTACAATGATCGACCTGATCAACGATACTATCCCTGTATTCGGCAAGTGGAACTACAGGATCATGTGCCACACGCCTAAAACTGTCATCAAGAGAGACAGGTTCAGAGTCATTGACAACATTGCGCTCCGCATGGCCAAAAATTTGACTTTCGAAGAGTACAAGGATTCTGATTATGCTCGGTAGGGATAATAATTTGTTGGATTGCACGACGAAAAATGCAAAAAAAGTGGTTACGGATCTTTAATTCTCTAAAATTTTACTTTTTCAATAATTTGTCTCATACTCTTTAAGTCAAAGTTTTAACTCATATAAATTAGTCAGTCTACGTCCCATTTATTCGTTGTTAGAAATTTGAGTGCTTGGGCAATTTGAGGATCACCCAATAATAGTAGATATCAATAACATATCGACTAAAATACCTTAGTATCCATTTTAAGCAAACAATCGCCATTTCACAGGTTCCAGCTAAACCCGAGGAACTCAAAGTACGACACGTCTAAAAGTGAATATTTCGCCGGACGAGGGCTGCTAGATATTATAATGGAAGAAATACCAGGTACGTGTGAGTGGATTGTTGGTATCCAGTGTGTGTGTGTGTGTGTGTGTGTGTGTGTGTGTGTGTGTTCGCGCGCGCGTGTCCATAAATATGTGATGTGCACGTAACCTTATTTGTACCTGAAAGTCATATAGCAGTGAAAAATAAAATGATAACTTGAGTGCAGTGTACAGTCAAACTCATTCTGTAATTATACATTCTAATGAATTCCAGGATTAGATAACTACCCGGGTAAAAACGTAGATGATGGTCTTTTCGAAGCTGTGTATCCTCTTTCGTCAAAGATTGCCACCCAGCCAAAGGTATTCAAATCAACTAAATTTGGTTTTTTTTTTTAATCCAACAGTCATTTTTCGATGACTTGGACACTGGTTCTGTTACTTGTATGTCACTAAAGTACAACTTTACTTTGCTGTTTATTATATGATCATTAGGCCTTATAGCAGTGCGTGTAACCATACGTATTTTATGCACAGCAGGCTCATTCAATCTCCAAAAATTCATGATAAAAATTGAGTTAGTATATCTAAAAATATACCTGCAGAGTGTTTTCTCCTTTGCTGATTTTCAGCTCACACACACACACATACACACACACACGTATATATTTCCATTGTTTCCTTTTCAGCTTAACAGCGCCTATTACAACCGCTGGTTTAGAGTGATGCGTAAGGGAGCTATGGGGTTGACAGTGCGCCATCGTGGCTACTCCGACGAATCCATCTTTACCGCTCAGACCACTCAACAGAAGGTAATAAAACATTAAATTTTTCGTCTCTTCAAAAATGCATATCTGTGACAGCGTTGGGTTCACTAAGCTGTGGAATATAATCCTATATATAAAATCATGTGTATAATATTGAGTTGTTCTATGTCCAGGTTGCTGGCATGCACCTGGATGCATGTAACGGCAGGGGGAAGAGCAGAGTGTGCGTCAACTACTACCAGAAATGGTCATACGCTGTACCTTTGTTTGTCACCTACCTCACCCCTCTGGGCCAGTGGAACCCGTACAACCTGAAGAAGCAAACCAGTAAGCAGAATGTGTGTGTGTGTGTGTGTGTGTGTGTGTGTGTGAGAGAGAGAGAGAGAGAGTTGCCAACAGCTACGTCTTCGTTGGAGAGAGACAGTTCTATTCTGCATATTAGAAAAACAAACTTTGCTTTCGATCACCTATTTTAAAAATATAGACATAATTGCGATCGACGTATTTTCAATGTCAATTCATGATTTACATCTCACATATTTCAAAGTACTGGCCATAGCTGTTTGTTAGACTGATATATTTATAATTATAGATGACGCTACTGTGACTTCCGGTGGTCGTACAGGCGGGTTGTCCAGCACCAAGGCGTATAATGGTTACAGTGACCAGCACCTTTACCTTACACCTGCAGAATTCTTCTCAGCCCCTTCAGTAAGTATTTTCAATATACGATTAAGATATTGGCCATATCTAATATAAACTTTGCCATTTTCAACTTGGTGCAAGGTGAGACTCTAAAAAGTGGTTTTACTTTGGGCCATCGGGTCCAAGATTTTTCTAATATTTTTACAAAGCTCATGGCGTTTCCAGTTTCATTCATCGATATCTCCGTGTGACAAATACTTATTATTGGCCTGAGTTTGTATCATTAATACATGCAGCTATGTTAATACGGGGTTTTCTTTACCCGCAGACCCCTGAAGACCCCATCAAGGGTGTCTTGGACGCTAAAGGAACCGTCAGGTCCGTACGCGCCAGCGGTCAGAGGTTCGTTTTCCCCGAGATACCTGGAGTACGGGGCAGAGTCCGCCAAACCTATCCTATCTTCCCAGTACACACTGACGGCAGCGTGGTCTCCAAGGAACTGGCCGCCTTGGTCGACATGGTCACCAAGAGTAACACTTTCGCTAATTTGTTTAAGTAACCTTTTTTTAGCCGTAATGTAGAATTTATGGCACACCGGTTTATTCTGTCATTTTGACTGTATTTCCTGATATGATACATAAACAGTAAGTTGCAATTATTTTACTTGTTGTTTTATTATACATGCGTTTTGTTTCAAAAGTATAATCGTACCACTTTGACTGCAAATAAGGAAAACTTGTAATACAGAGAACTGATAAATTTATTTGTTAATTTATTCCAGACCTTGCATAGATGTTTTAAATAAATATGAATCCACGTGCATTTCAATTTTGGTTGAAAAACTTTTGTTCAGAGACAAACAAAATTGTTTCAATTCGAGCATGTCCATTTAAATATATATGTTTATTTGTTTTGATCCGTTTAAAGTGAAAAAAAAAAACATTGCTACAATTCTTTATATTTACATGGACTGACGATGGCAATGTTTAGTAGATTAATTTCTCCTGTATCACCTAACTCATGACGTAAATGATGTCGTAAATTGGTACTCGTGATAGTGCCGTTACGTCACCCAATCCTAGATTTTGACCTAAAACTCTAGAAACTCAACATGGATGGTTTGAACCTAGTAACGACGATTTTAACTGACCTATTCGCCTTAGATAACCCTGTATTGGGGCCAGTGTCGTGACGATCTTGCGCTAAAGGGTTTAGTTTATCTATGAGTCTGATTCTGGACTACCTTATTTCCAATTTCTCACTTAAGATAATCAGTGAGATGATTCCAATATAGGAAGGCATACAGTTTTGTATATCTGAAATTCGTCATCCCAGAAACTTGAAATACTTGCCTTGGAAGTTTTCCCTGTACATGATTGCGTCCATTTTAATAACACTACACCGTGATGTATCTTGTGGGAAACTAACGAATGGAGATTCTTTCTACATTTTTCATGTGGGATCTTAGCCATTGTCTTTCTTAGCTACTAGTTGATCACAGGGTCCGCTAGTAGTCTGTTACAAAATGGTCTTTTCTTCAATTTTGTGTGCTATATCAGACGCCCCTGTATTATCAGAGGGTGTCTCTAACCATCTTACAGTTAAACGAACCAGTCGAGAAACGTTAAAATATACGGTGGTCCGATTGCCCGATGAGCACGCGTAGTAGGCCTACTTTTTTGATGATTTCCTGTCATGAGTTTTAATTCATATTATTTGTAATTAATTACATTCCCCTTTGTAATATCAATTAACTGGAAAAACATTTATTAATAAATCACACGTTTATATTCACATGTTCACATTAAAATACCACTGATATCAGTCCAAATGTCATTTGTATTGCGGATATTGAGTATACGTATGATTTCCTGTCACTATATGAACTGTTTCATAAAAATAGAAAAGCTAAAAGTCTTGTCTTAGTTCTGAATTGCTTGTTCGAGCAGCAAACTGCAGGCTTTCTTGTGCCAATAGGCGACCAAAGTTTCTTGTCACTGGAAAAAAGGAACGAAATGTGCTGTTATGTTTAATGTAAAAAATACGTTATAAAGCAATAACAAATATTTCAAAACAAGCAATTTATAATATGTTTCAGACCAATATAACAGAAGATGAGATGCTATGCGCATATTTCACTAATACAGTCCCCTGTTTAGCGCACAGAATGAGAGTCATGTAGACCCGAGTAAGAAACCAATTAACTATATGGTCAAGGAGAAGCCTAACGTAGATATTATCTGAATACGGTAAAATTGGGTTTTCATTATTTCTTGCGTTATTATGACGAAAAATATTATTTCTGAATAGACTTCACTTGTCTTCTACTATGAGGCGCGAGAGGTCATTTATGTGATCAAGTCCCTTTGAGAGAGAAATGTCAAAGAGCCATGTCTCCATCGGTAGAAAAGTAAAGTCTCTTTAATTTGAAACCGATTTACCTACTTTTATATGTTATATAAATACTTACACGAATGAGAACACACAACACCAACATCACCGCTGTGATCGCACAGGTGCCTCCCCCACAGCCCGTGTCTGCAGTCCTTCAGCCACCTCTCAGCGCCTGTACACTGCACTTTACCCAGCCAGATATACCCACTGCCTTGACCATAGTAGGCGTTAGATTTAGCGGTACCATTGTTGTAACCGAACTGTTTGCACGCCTGTTTTAAAACGAGAACGATAGATAGCATAGTCAGGTAAAAATGGGCATTTGGCATTAACTATACGTAGATTAAAAACATGTTAGCACAAATTTGATAATAAACCACGTGTCCATGAAATTCTGATGTAGCCGTTGCGGTTGCCATATTAATAAATTCATATGACCGTTATCACATGACAATGAGTGGGCAATTTTATATGAACGTCAATTAATCACTGAACAACAAGTAGTTAGAAGTGATCAATGCTTACCACTTTGGCATCGGCGTCAGTCCAAGCGCTGTCACAGATGGATCCCCATTGACCATTGTGGAAGATTTCAACGCGTCCTAAGCAAACAATAAATATACACTCGGTAAGGTTTATGATGTTTCGCTATTTCAAAAATAACACACACTTTCAAAATATATTTTAATGTTAAAACAAACAAATAATGGTTTTCAAAAAGTTCGCCCGACCTTTTTAAATGTCACAATCCACAGTTGTTTTGGCGATGCTATATGGTGTTCATGAGATGTTAGTACACGGTTTTACCTGTGTTATCTACAATTCAAATTTTAAATAAAAGTTGCACGATTTAGACCACGAACCATTGGTGCACTCAGATCGTCAAAATAGCAACTATTATCATATGTAAAACAAGTCTTAGCCTATCTGTAGATATAAAACAAAGTCTCACCTTCCAGTTTGCCGCCACTTGTTGCCGCACTAAGAATATTGACGCTCTCAGTCGCTGACACGTGGTCTGCCAGGGACGGTTGCTGGTCTGCCAGAGACAACTGTTGGTCTGCCAGCTCATACTGCCTCACAGAGGAATCTACAAGACGTTCCTCGGCTAGTGGCTCCACCTGGAGAGCAGGTTGGAGTTGAAGTGAAGCACGTCGCCCTCGGCGGCCTCGTCTACGAGTGAACGTTGGGTTAAGTAACACTGGGTTTGCTAATAAAGGAGTTGCAGTCGTACTGGTGGTGGTGGTGGTGGCGCGGACGGCGGCAATAGGGGCCAGGTTGGCTGCAGGCTGATCCACTTGCAGACTGTGTATTGCCGTTGCCAATTCGTGGAACAAAAATCTGTTCGCTTTGAATCGGCTGTCCACTAGTCTCAAAGCGCCTTCCGCTGAAAGAAGACAAAGATGATACAGTGGTGAAATGTTTATTTCTACATTTCTAAAAGTCAGCCATGACAATGATATAAATGAAAAACCGCGTGAATGATGTTACCTTGCAGTTACCAATGAGCGTCACTACAATTGTATAGGAGAGAATAATTTTCTATAAACCGATAAAAACAAACTTGATAATTTAATTAAAATCTTTACTTCTCAAAATTAAGATTTTTTTTTTTGGGGGGGGGGAGTACAAACAAGCGTTTAACAAATATTTTAGTTCTAATCTTGGAAAAGTATTATATAATACCAAAAAGTTAAAATCGTGTATTTCAAACTCACATGGAATTTCACACTTGTCACCACTAAAACCTCGGTAACAGGAACATTTGCCAGTCTTCTGGATACACCTGCCATTCGTACACTTACACTGTACTTTACAGTTGGGACCACCGGTGTTCGTAGGACAGCCTAATGAAACAAATGTGCCCGCTTTACAAAATATATGCCGACTTAAAGGTATGTAACATGCAAATTTATTATAAGACGACACATGTTAGTTGTAAAATGGCGGTCGTTGTCAATGAAAAATTGACACTTGCGTACATGTACAAGTTGTAAGTTTAAAAATTTTAGGAGTTCGCCAGCTTTTGCACACCTCTGTCATACCGTTCTCTATATGTACTCTCTTTTTTTCTATAAGGTGAACAGAAAAAAGTGAAATGTGTGGTATTTATTTTTACGCCTGCAAGACAAATCAAGACTTTATCTCGTATATTATTATGTATCCTTGCATTTCACAGTTCTCTTTATCTAATTAACATGTACAACAATAAAGAGAAACAAAAAAACTGCAAGACTATCAAATTAAAAACGTATTAAATCTAAACTGTACTCACGCCTGCAAGAGTTGTCGGAAGGTTTTCTGTAGTAACCTGGTTGGCAGTTGTGACACCGGTTACTGACGGGGATTGTAGAGTACGGTAAGGATGTAGGACACTGGAAAAGAAGCATTCTGATTACCGCCGTGATCCAAAGTTGGATGGGATCAATGAAAAAATAAACTTAATTAGCCAGTCCAATTTATGATTACCATACGAACCTGACGACCAGACCTGGGCAAAATATCTGAAAACGCTAACGGTTTGGGCACTGATGACATATATATATATATAAAACATTTTCTCCCCGACCCATCCCCAAAAATCTTAAATGCACTCATGTCTATAAAAAGAAACTTACTTAAAACAGACAACAATATTATCTTACCTTGACACAGTTGGTTCTTAGTGCGTTGCTGTATTCATCAGCATCTTTGTTACACGTGTACGCTCTGCCGTCTCCAGGACACATGGTGCCAACTGCACAGGGGGCACACTGATACACTCCATTGACTGGAAGATATATATATCATCAATTATTTCTATGTGTGATAATTGGGTTCATCAAGGCCAGCTGAGTGATGCCGTCAATTACATGCACAAATTTTATTTATTTTATTTCAAGTTTTGGTTTACTACATTTGAGATAAAAAAAAACCAGGCGTGCTCTATGAAGATGTCCATTAACAGCATCCGAGTATCTGCTACACAAGACTGACCTTCCTTGATGTAGGTTCCTGATCTGCAGTTGGCACACTGTCCATTGATCTGGACACACTGGACACACTGACCAGGAGTTGGGCCGGAACACGTGAAACCGTCCTCTTGTGGAATACATGCAGCATTACAAGCTATAATATAATAAAATATAGCCATTTATGATTATATATATATATATATATATATATATATATATATATAGTGAAAGATACCCACACCAAACTATTTCTGGACTTTTTAGAAAATTGCAGTTCAATGTTCATTTTCTTTTAGAACAAAGAGCATGTGATAATGCAAGAAATGTCGTGAAATGTTCAAGTACGTGCACTTTTAAACTGAAGCCATCTATCGGTGGCTTTAAATCTCATGTCGCCGTTTGGGACTGTTCCTCTTAAAGATACATATTCAGGATTAACTTATAAGATACTGATAGATGCCCGTCATCGTGTAAAGTAAAATCTGTTGACTCCATCCTTCCTTCTAAGAACTTTCTCCCAAACATAAGTAAACTCACCTTTGCATTCACTGTGGTTCGCGCTGACAGAGTGTGGGTAGTAGTGAGCCGGGCAGGAGGCCAGACAGATCTCTGGTTCCCCGCTGGCGTACAGTTCACAGACACAGAGTGGTGATTCCACAGAGGTATCTTCTGCAATATGACCCGCACTGCAAGCTTCTACGCATGCGCCGTCTTCAATATATTTACCTGGTAATAACGAAAAAGACCAACATGGTTTTAACAGTTAAACAGAGTACTTGTTGGGGATCTTAAATAAATAAATATAGCATCGCAATTTGTTATCTTTTACTATTTTTCTTTTACCATTTTTCTCTTGATTCTTTTTCTTCGATTAGTCTGAGCCGATTATATCGTACAAAAACTCATTTTGGTTTACTTTACATAGAAATATAAGATAATTAGACCATTTTAAAACTTACATATGCACGTCTTATTCTGACTGTCCGGTTTGTGTGTGGGTGGACACTCGGACACACACGTGCCGTCCGCTTGAAGATTGCGACAAGCGCGGCATTTTTTGTTGGAATCTGGCATGTGGCAGCCTGGTAACGAAACAATCAATGTGGGAATAATTCAACTGCATTTCAGCGTGTGAAAAAAATCAAATTGTTTACGAAAATAGCGAGTTGTTAAAATAAGTGCTTTGCTTTTAGGCAGTCAGTTTTCTAACGAAGTAACCTGTTGGCAGTTTTTCATTCTATGTTGATTGCCTGAATGCTTTACTGAAAATTTGATTTAAAATATGGCATAAAACTGGCATACAATATCGCAGGTTAATAATGGAGAATTGTCAACCTTTGAAGTTCCGCTTGCATAAGATGTTTGTTTCAGGCATTTTAAATCAAGATTTTAAAAGTCCAATAATCATACCGGAACAAAAACGCGGTTATGCGATAAGAGACTCACCAATGCATTCAGGATGGCAGTGTTCCACACACGTGCCCTCAAAATCAATGGTATGTCCAGAGCAGACATGTTCTCCTGTAGCAGATGTGGGCAAGACGTGAGCGTCCATTATGCTTAAAGGAGACTCGCCATTGCCAAACGCAAAGAAACGAACGTGGAGGGGTTCGTCGTGGTCTTCAAACACGGCGTAGACATGGCCTCTCTCCTACAATGAAGAAATGGAAAAAACTGAAGTTAGATTTTGAAAACATTAGTAGACGTACTTTGAAAAGAAATTGTTCGCCGTAAAATGAGCAATGCTTCGCCATTTTCTAATGAAAACCTGAGTCAAATAAAAAGCAAAACTTTATTCTAATATTCAAGAATTTGTACATTATATTTCACTTTATCAAGTTTTTGTTTTAATCTAAATGCGGGCGTTTGTAAGAAAAAGTACCAAGGCATTGAATAGAAAAGAAAAAGCCTCACTCTGTTATTTTCCGTCTTTCCATAGGTAATTGTCGTTTTCACTCCTATTGTCTCTGCAACGCAAACGAAGTAAGACTCATACAGAGACGGATCTCCAAGACTCTTTGCGTTACTATGATCCACGAATTTCATCACCGTGGCACCCTTATAGATGGCGACACCGTCTGGGCTAATTTGAACGTAGTACCATGTCTCGTAGTCACGCGGAATGGCGGAGAACACCACAAAGATGTCGCCCATTGACACTGCGGTGAACGATATGCAGCTTCCACCGGCGACAATGGGGTTAAAACGATGTGCATTGGACCAGACCACGTTGCACGGGATAGTACCGACACCAAACTCATTCCTGTAAAGAAGCAAAAGTTGAAAGTTCACTTTACATTGTATACGACAGAGAAGGCTATGGATTTTTTCTTTGAATTTTGCTAATGCAATGAAAAAAACAAATGTCCATTATGCATACGTCATAAACTGACTAAAATGATTATCTCTTTTCATATAATTTCGACTAAAAGATGACTAGCAAAATGAAAGAACAGGGAAATAATGTCTCTTTAACCTATTGGTAAAATTAAACAAAAGAGACCTAAACAGGATAATCTTTATCTAACATTTGCGGGATGCCATACTGCAAACTTTTCTTTTAAACTATTAACGCTTTCTTAACGTCGAGCACTTGAGATATTACAGTAGCCTATCTAAAAAGTGTAACTCACTTATGTTGTTTTATCTCGTCCACCATTGACGGGTATTCCACACGGGCAACGGTAAGGCCGTTCAGTGCCTCTGGTAAATCTGGATGTTTAAGTCGTGACGCGTTGAAGTCGTCTTCTGTCACCGTCAACAGACCTGTCCTGTTGTTGTATGACATCACCAGTCCCCGAACTGAGATCTGTCAGGAATAAAGACGTTAATGTACATTGTATAAAGCGAAGCAGACGACACCAAAGAAAGATGTCACAAAGCATAAGCCGTGAACCTTGCATATACCTACTCTCTACCAGAGGTCAGTTGAATGGTGACGTTAATTCTGTATATACAAAGCATCGGTGGGCGCCACTTTTTATGTATTGAATTAGCCATCGTATTTGAAAGCAAATTTTACGGTATGAAAATTAATAATTAAGAAAGTGCAAAAAGAAAGTACATCAAAAAGGAAAACAATAAGCCCACACTGCATTTTGCATAATATCTTTTTTTTTATAAATCTGATTTTTTTCGGCATAGTGGGAGCACTTTCCCCTGTATAACAAATTTACTTACTTTTCTATTGTCTAGATCCCCGCTGCCTCCATTATTGGCCCCATCGTACAAGTGGGTAATACCTGGACTGCTTTGTACGTACCACTGCCGGGTACTAGAGCGATAGAACACTAGTAACGCCTCAGACGCACCTACAGATAAAACAATTTTATTTACAATGCATATCATACTCCAGAAAGGCAAATTTTGTTGTGTTACATGTGAGACGAGAAGACATCCATTTAGAATTAATCAGAAATCTTTTAGAATTCATTGTATTCAGAAGTAACAAAGAATTCTCAGCCGATAACACCAACTTATCAACAAACCGCATCTTCATAGTGCCACAGACTCAAAAATCAACGCGAATTCTAAAATACATCTTAAAGCAAAAGCGTAAAAATTAAAATTATTTCCGAACCACATACATGTCTAGAAAGTGTTTTCCTGTGCACTTACCTACTACACGCGCTAAATTAAAAGGCATGTCAAATATGACCCTGAACTTTGACCCGTCCGTCATGTGTTCCCACTGAGGAATTCTAATTTTCACACGTTTGTCTTCAAAAGACAGCCTGGACGATTTACATCCTGCTCTGCCGGCTGGCAAGTCAATGTCGCTGCTGGGGATGACACCCTAAAATGTTCAAAAGATTGCATTTAGCACCCAATGTAAAAAGGTCAAGTTGCACTGGATTATGTAATCAGAAAAAAATACAGATCTAAAATTTGTACTTTAATTTCTTAAAATTGACTTGGTGTAGTCTTTCAAATTGAGGAAGTCAGAACAGACTAAATGCTATTTTTGTAAGCGTGTGTTTACTGATAATTTTCAATGAGAACTCTACTGTGTATTCACAGACTAATATTAATTTAAGAGTATCTGCAGTGCACGTGGTGGTGGCGGTGGCGGGGAAAAGGGGGGGGCTAGGAGCAAGCTCGACTCCATATCTTTAAACTGTGATTTAAGAATCTCTTACCTCCTCCATATAGACATTAATTCCCCTTTCCAGAGCCTTACACCTTCTCCTCATGCTGTCCTCCAGTTCCTGCTGGTTCTTAAAGTCACAGTACCGCTTCTCTACATTAATTGTGTTGTTGTTTTCATCGTAAGTTTCCCACACATAGTAAAGTCTGTTCGTTCCATTCTCCGTTAGAAGAGTCCTTGAAAAATGAAATAACATTCCATTTGAAGTGGTTATAACCAGCATATACACGGAGATCTAAAACGCTTCAAATTAATTTTTAAAAGGTGCTCGTGGAGGTACTTATCAATAACGGTATGCGTTGTAATTAAACAAAAAAATGCTTGTCACGGAATATTAAAATCCGCTCCATTTCAGGGTCATTCCAAATAACGACTTGACTCAAAGAGTCAAGTCTGTAACATACACATTTTGTACGATGTTAACATAAAAATCCAAAAGCATCTCACTTCAAATTTCATCATAATGTAGACATAGTAGGCTATACACCGCAGTGTGGTTTAAGGCACCCAAACTTACGTTCCTCCAAAGCACCCAAAGTCCACCTCCCCGACTGGGAACAACTGCTTGTAGTTGATATTGTGACAAATGTAGGTAATGGGCTCCATCTGGAACTCAAATGGCTTGGGATATCTGGGGATGGAGGCTAACCATTGAGACAACTCGTGTTTAAATCCAGTGGTATACATCTCACTGATCACGGCTGCTATGGCCTGGGAGCCGCCTTGGACCATGAGGACCTCGTTGGAGTACTGCTGCTGTGATCTGGAAGTACAGTTATCAGAAATAATGAATTATCACAGGTGATGTATAGGTGAGCGGCAAATTCATGTTATTTTTCGAAAAATGCGCTGGTTTCCATTTCTGTAGTGATTTTGTGTACCTTTCAACGTGTTCCTGCTTCAAACAGGATGTTGTAAAGTTACGTATCATTAACCATCCATAACATATGTAATGCTTTGAAACAAATTAATCTTATACAATGAAAATTCGCGCTTGTTGTAAAATTTTGATCAGTAGCAATTAATTCACATATTTAATCGGTTAACTGTACTCGTATTATAATTGTTCACATTTATTTTGTACGTACAGGGACTGGCTTCCGCCTTTAGTTTCGTTGGATGACGATCCCTCGACTCCACCCCCTGCGGACACGCTCCCCTCCGCGGAACCCTCGGCCTTGTGGAATAGACTTCTAGATTTGAACTGCGCTGCAGCGGCCATGAACGTGCTAGAAAAATAGAAATATAATTATTCAAGAGAAAAAAACAAAGAAATGAAGAAATTCGTGGATAAATGGATGTGACTTGTGACTGATGTAGTGAGTGGACGAATGGGGAGCAGACAGTGGAGACACACACAGACACAAAGACACACACGCATGTGCGCGCGCAAATACAATTGGGAAATATTATGCATAGAAAATTTAAGCAGTTTAAAAACAATGATCTATTACCTGAACATGGCCTTGTAGTCATCCTGTGCCTTCTCAGCGAACTGTTCTATGCTTTGGTCCCTCACTCCTTCCTTGGTCTTGATCAACTTTAGTTGACCTCCAAATTTAGCAGCCTTAATGAAGTGTGTTCCCCATTTTATAATGAATTGTTCTGAAATATAAATTGGTCGCCGTATTTTTTGCACACTTTGTATGGTGGTACATTTAGTCTATTTCCTCAACTTCATCAACTTATATAAACAAAAAATAAATATTAAATAACAACACAATATAATAATATACTTAACATAAACTTAAAAGAATATTTTGTGCGTCAAGTTTGGATTCATTTGAGGATATTCAAACTTACGAAATCTGAGAGGAGCGCCGGCGTAGAAATATGACTCCGGCAGATGGACGAAGTCATGCAAAAAATCCATATTGAGGTCGTTGACGGAAACATCATCCAAAAATATTTCGTACCTAAAATCACAAATATGCACATATTTTACCAAAAGCTGCCTTAAAACAAATAATCTGTCAAAGCATTTGTGTCCGTTCTATTACATAAAACGACTGCGCTGTCATGGTTTCGAAGTACCTATCTGTAAATTTTCTTACAGCTAAAAACTTTGGTTGAAAACAAAATGCATAAATATGCAGAATTTTTTATATGTTAGAATATAGATGTATGTTTGACTAATGTGAGGGGCAAGGTACATTTCCATTCATAACAAACGAGTAACATCATTTTAAATTTACAAAGATTTTTAATCAACAGTAGGCCTATCTCAAAAAAGTCTTTCCACAAGTTTCGGCGTCTCTTACCTGATCACGTCAACCTCTAGCGTAGACAGGTAAGTCTGTTTAAAGCTTTCAGTCTGGTACCCGCTGGCTGAGGAAGAAAACGACGTCGACTGCCCCGACCCCGACGCGGAAGCTTGCATACTAGCTCCTCCTCCACCGCCAGCTAAACCTAGTACAGGCAAGAGAAAAAGACTTATCAAAATGCAAAGTAAACCAATAAAATGACGAGGTATCTTTCAAGTTCTGCTGATGTAGTTTGTTATTTACCTATCACAGTTATCTCCATATTGCACGGGGTCAGGAAGAAAATCATTAGAAAAGAAAAAGTAAAAGAAATTCAAAGCATCAGATGAAAAAAACATTCTTTTCATCATATCTAGGACTGTCAACGGTACATGCACATGATTTTCATCTAGAGATAACTGAACTTGTTCACGTCACGGAGACCTGATTCCCCTGCCGGAACGACAGAATAGTGAAATGTCACAACGCCCTGGCGAGACAACCACTATCAGTTGAATGTGTATCATGTAATATCAGTAGACAAAGACACATCTCTCTCTCTCTCACTCTCTCTCTCTCTCTCTCTCAAACACACACACACATATACCTAATCATTTATAAAAAATAAAAAAAAGGATTGGATTTAATATTCTTTGATCCATCTCTTACAATTGGTAAAATTGGCTAATGTTATAAATCTCAAATAATTATAATACAGGGACAAATGAAAGGTATTCATGATTTTTAAATCAGGTTTTGTAATTGCGACCATTTAAAAAGTATCAAGTATGGGTTTTGTATTTGATCTTCATCGTAAGATTGCTGTACTTGATCACCTCGTGATTCCTGTGGCGGAACGATAGAATAACCGCAACCAGCGAAACAAACACTAGCTGTAGTATCGCTACTGATTATAGTGATAGCTGTCAACAAAAATCTTCGGTCGCTCTCTCTCTCTCTCTCTCTCTTATTTATTAAATATAAATATGTTCTTCCATCCGGTGCTTATGATAGACAAAATGCGATAATGTGTAAGTCGCAAGCAATTACATGTACCATATCAAAATACAGACACAGATGTGAGTGATATATGCTTATGGAGTCCTGGTTGTTTCTTTGCGTCCATTTCAAAAGCATGATTAATGGCGTTCATATTTACATTTGATTTGGTGCAATGCAGGTAAGTTAAAAAACGAAAAACAAGTAATCATAATAATAATAACAATATCAGATGTGCAGATGCTATCGTGAGATTCTTCACTATGTTTGTTTCCCACGAAACGAACAGTAATCATATTCTTCTATTAATGAACGGGTTGTTTTTCACATGAAGAAAATCCCCACAACCTACCGAGAATTCCTGCTGAAGCGTGTCCCGTTGCCTTGGTAATGGCTTCGATAAACATGTATTTGGACTTGGCAACGGAGGCTTTCTCTTCAAGATACTCCTGATACTTGTGGATGGAGTTGAAGGACTGCGTTTTCACGTCAGTGTCATAGATACCCAGAACAGTCATGCTGTCAGGCACGGCTTTCCCTTTGTAACTGCAGATTTAAAAATGTATATCTATCAGTTGGAGTCACATTTATCTAGATGACACTAGAAACAAAGATTTGCGTAATTATTAGCGATATAGCACTAGAAAGACGGCACTACAAACTTGAGTTATATAATTAGTGCCACTGTAAGTATAATGAACAAAAATAAAGAAATGAACTTCAAATGTTTAAAAGAAAAATATGAATGGGAATTTCTTCTTTTTTGACCTATTAATATGCTTTGGCGTGTGAACTATGTCAGAAATAACTGGGCGCGCATTTATTAGTTGACCGCTTGTATCTTGTTCAGTAAACACTTCACAAAACAAATTAATATTTCATTAATCTCACGTAAATGATACATATACAGTTTCTAACCGACAGCCTTGTGTTTTAAAAAATTCCCTAAAGTCTTGTTGACATACTCTGTAGCAACATAATCTTGACTGAAAGGCGCATAACTTGACAAGCGCGCATTTAAATATCATACATCAGATGCGAGCGTTGTTGTAGAAGGGTTTTTACACTAGTTTTAAAACATTACGGTTCTTGATACCGGTTACAGTGAACAGAAATATATGCAAACTATTTTCAATTTTTACAATTTCTGTCAGAGGCGATAATTTAGGCAAGAGACATCTGGAAAATGACAAAGATAAAACTTACACTCCTCCTCTGTTGCAGACTCTCTGGATAATGGATTTCTTTCTGGATTCCGAGCTGTAGTCACCGCGTCCGTCAAAACCAACTCCGATAAAGTTAGAACTGTCAAGGATGTGCTAATCAAGAAAAAGAAAAGATGCAAATTTAATCATGATTTTGTTTTAAAAGTCAACATGCTTATGATATTAAAGTTGGAAACCTGGTCAACTTTAACCAAAAATTTTACCAGCCTTTCGGTCAAGTTTTTTGGGCACTATTTCATGCAGCACTGTTCTTCTCTTCTTTCTTTTATGGGGTATTCCAATAAAAATGTAAGAATAAATAAGTCTCAACACACACGGTGACCTTCGGGTAAATTTAAGTGACCGTTATCCAATTTATTTCAACCTGATCATGACTCGCATGCTGAGCTACAGGTTGTCGTAGCTCAGCTGAACGCTAACCGTGTGCATAGCCGTTAACATTATGATTCACTCCCATTTGAAAAAAAAAAAAAAAAAAAAAAAAAAAAAACATGCCCATAAAGCCTATTCACTTTACCTGGCACTTAGGCAGGAGTCGCTTGGCGGCGTAACAAGGATCGTTGACGGAGAAAGAGGGCTTGTAGCAACCATTCAGTAGAACGCTTCCAAGCCCTTTGTTAGCTTCAAATGCAGGACCGGGGTCTATCTCAGCATCTTCACTGTAAAAAAGAGATTAATATTCTTAAGTACTTTAAATTGGTGCTATGTTGTTATTTAGTGAATTGGTGAGCTTTGGTATTAAACTGCACAGTTTTTTACTTTCGGCCCCTGTGAGTCAAACCATATTATAGAACTAAATACTAAAACTCGTGTGAATTTTAAAATATAACTTTAAGCTAAATTGATTCGACAAATCCAGTCAAAAAATGATGTCTTCGCTGTCGGCGAAAAAACAAATTGCAGAATTTGATGAAGTAAAAAGGACGTAAAGTTTCTGAAACCCCACACGAAAAAGCATAGAAAGTGTTGCCAATGTTTGCACTTACGGTTCTGGGGCCCATTCGGTCTTGATCTTGTATTCTGGAGGAGAGAACATTTCTCCATCATAGTTAAATCCTTTACTGGGAATAACGTCGACTGTGGCCTGCAAAAGAATATTAGTTGTAATATTTTTTCAATAGCGCGTTGATAAACGCATATACGAGAGTCACCGATATATTACATACGTTTGTGAAGATCTGAATGTTAATTTGTAATTAAGAGAGAGTGAGAGAGAAAAAGAGAGAGTATAAAAGGAAGAAAAGAGGAAAACTAAGACAGACTCTTACCGATCCTCCCATTAGAGTGTCATGCTTAGCGCTAATGTCTTTAGCAATAGCTTTCAACTCCGCTGTCAAATCCTCCCTCTTAGCGTCACTTTCATTTTGAAATTTGCCCAGAAAGTCATTCAACTCCTGACTAATGTCATCCTTGTGATTTTTGTTCAAAATTTCATCAGTTATCTTTGTGATAAAATTGGAGATGAAGGAATCCGTCAGGTTTCCGAACTTGCCGTCTTGGATACCGCTCTGTATGCTCCCCAGAAGCTTGCTGCCGGCTAACTTTACTATCATACTGATGATGGTTGGATCGATAGCTGGAATGATGAAAAAAACTCATAGTAGACAACATAGATTACCTAAGTCGAGCTGTTGTTCCATAAAGCTTTAAAAAATGACCGTACAGAACTACTAAACTCTATTTATCTATTTGAATCAAAATAAATTATTGAAATAAAATTTTAGATTGACTGAAGGCTACGTACCCGCTGTGTTCGTTACAAAAAAGAAACAGAGAACGGCATAAAGTAATGCCGCTCTCCCCACGTATCTCCCAAGGTGCATTTTGTTGCTGCTTGTTCCAGTTTTTCACCTGTTTATAGTTTCTTCGATTCTGATCAACACCCTCCAAAAACGCCCCTTTATATACCCCTGTCTTTTTATTTCCGCCCCGTGTCGTAAAATGACGCGTTAATGTACTTCCCCTTTCAGCGAATATCATTATAAAAGGCTTCATGCTTACTGCATTGTCCACAGGTAAGATTTATGGACAGGCGGAAGTAACGGTCCGCAGAGCACTTAAAAGATTTTGAAGGGCCAGAGTCTGCAAAGAAACCTTTATTACATAAACCCCAAGGCTACATGTATTAATACACCAATCATATTCTCAACGCTGATTTAAAAGCGATAAATAATTATCTTACGGCGGGACATTTCCTTGTTTGTATCGAACCTGAAAATTGTAACTACAGATTGTTTTGATATCGCGGTATTTCAATATATGCTGAGAATGTGGGTGAAAAACCTTATCCGTTAGTTGTTACAATGTGGCCCAGGCGCTCCTCAATTGTTTCCCCTTAAGATAACAATGACATACTGCGGTTATTTGTTGACTTCTACCTTTACCCAGGAGAAAATAGACCTTCCGATCCGATTTCTTTTACCTGACAAACACGTGGAATGTGTTTCGTCGCTTCTCTTCAGCTGCAAATAATTTTTTATTATATTATATATCCGGGCTGCTATTTGTTGACCTCTGTATTTTACATAAGCTAATGTTGGCCTATGCTGTCTGATATCATAAAAAAAGATAACTTTTGACCAGAAATTGTTATAACTAAATTATGTCATTTGTTTGCAAAAATTGGACACGTTATTGCTTTTTGTGAACTATTTTCTTACTTTAAATGCAGGGTGAGAGAGATAACAAGAGAGTCTGAGGACATTTGAATCATAATCGCATAAATCACATATGGGTGTTTGCGCTTGCGTGAGTTGCGCGTATGCGTGCGAATGCGTGCTTCTGTGTGGAGAGGTAGTACATGAAGCTTTTGAAAACCCCTTCATTCTCAGTGAAGGAAAACTGTTTAAAATCCGGCAATCGGTCCCGTTTCTAATACTAATATACGAATAAAACGCCCTCACGAACCCGGAGAACTCAACAGTATTAATGTTATCTTCAATTCACGAATTTTAAGCGCACAATCCAGATTCAAACCCATTGTTGTTAAATTAGCTTAGTAAAAGAGTATATATAAGAAGTCGAAAACGCCCAGAAAAATTCCCTGAGATCAGCATTCATTTTGCGAATAGAAATATTTTCAATTGTGCGATGGACATTTCGATGAGCTCAGCCATTTCTCAGCAGGTATAAATAGGTAATAATCAATATGCGGCAGAGCTTTATTTGGAGAACAAAAATAGCCATGATTCACCACCTACTACCTGTACCTGGGCAATTTTAGTGTCAACTTTCTTAAAACGCAGGGCAGGTATTCTTTCTGGGTTTGTTTGGTTGGTTGTAAAAATAAACCACCTCATTGCGTGCGTAAGCAAGAGTCGCTGCATTGACATCTGACTGGGCGTACGCCCATTATACACGAGACCACGGGCATGGATACAATGACCAAAGAAAATACATTTTGACAGAGTCCGATAAAATGACTGCAACATACTTATATACAACATGGACAATTCTAACTAGAGCATCAAGAAAAATAAAATTTTCTTTGAACGGCGATATTAACAAATCAACAGGACACACATCTATAGGCGTAGGTGGGGCAGGTAAGAAAGGGTAAACCAGGAAGAAATACAACATAATATAAAGTCCATGACACCGCAGACGTTCGTTAATAGTTACGGACAAAACTACTTCAGGTTATTATAGAAAATCGATGTTACTCATCTATTAATTTGGCATCTTTGTAATCCATCTGCGTGCGTCAGGTTTAATAGAAATAAGGAAGTTTTTGTTAATTTTACTATGTTAAGTTGGAAAACACTTCTGTGAGTCATTTTCACTACAACAGAACAGACCTTGCTTTTGTTATTATATGATTATTTCCTTCAGTTTGTAAACAAGGCTTGGTAACAAATCGTCAATACCTATTCTACGCATAATGCGGACCTGTAACTATGGGTTTTATTTATCTATTTATTTTGTTTACAATCATTTACGGAAAATCCGTGTTTGGAGCCAAAAAGGGCGTTTATTTTGTATCAATAAATTACGTTATGTGACTGATCACTATCAAATAACTAAAAAACACCATGTTAGCAGCAATAAAATTCCGTTAGTTTTTCTGGAAAAACATCGAAATTCAAGGTCATCACCCAGAGCATCAAAGTCGCTTTGTCATATGCTTTGTATTTCAGCATTGCCAAAACTAGTGGGACACCTTTCGTGCTATATCATGTATATAGTTCTGATATACAGGGTGAAGGGAACCACCAGAGCCTTACAATGTCGTTAAACAGACATAAAATCTGATCTGGATCGAAATTCAGATTTTAGTGTTAAAAAACGCGTTTGGATTCAGCTTTCAAATGTGTGAAGAAAATAAATCATTTGAGCCTTAGAGAAAAATATTTTAACTAAAAATGTTTTAATTAAGTATTTTGCCACAATAATTGGATGCTTTATCGTCTAAAGGCAAAGTGTAGACGAGTTAGGTTTCAATTTTGGAAGGGAAAACGTGGAGGATCATTAGTGATTTTTATATCAACAGTTTTTAAAGTCATATAAATGCAGAGTGCCACCTGTAATCCTCCATGATATCTTGGATTCCTTAATGATGAATTAGTTTAATACGTTATTATCAGCCATTTCAAATGGATTTTATGATTGAATTTTCCTCCTGAAAGGCTTTATATACGGCAGTTAAAGTTAACATTACATTTTTACGCAAGGTACTCCACTATCTTATATATCTAAAAACAAAAACGTAAGATTTATAGTTGTCCTTTTTTAAGTTTCTGCATCAAAACAAACAATAGCAGACACCGTGACTATCTACACTGTCGGAAGTTAAAAAACAGAGACAACTGATAGCATTTGATATTTTCCCTGGCTCAAATTTATCATTTTAATTATTAAAAAAAAAAAGCCTTTGAGAGGTGAGTGTTCCACCATAAATCAGAAGAAAAGAAAGGAACGCTTTTTCTCTAGTTTTTAAAATTTTTTAACTAAAAAGTTGCGTCGGCTAAAATTAGGGTTCTCAAAAATAACGTGCCAGGTTAAGTCAAGAAAAAATGATAAAATTAATTAAAAAAAAAAAACAATGTGATAAAAGATTTTAAAAAGACTTGTAGATAACAACTTTTTTAAGCTGTATGGATGAACGTGATCAGGCCCGTAGCCAGGGGGGTTCGGGGGGTTCGAAAGAACCGCCCCTTTTGCTGGGAAAAGGTCCATTCTGGGTAAAATTTGATCTAGGTACATTAAGGTTGTTATGGGAAAAGGTCCACTTTTTCAGAAAAAGAACCCCCCTTTTGAAATTGCTGGCTACGGGCCTGGTGATTATATACCAAGTTTAAAATAAATTTAAAATTACTTTGTAGTTAGATGCATAACAAAGGACCTATTCACAAACTTGCGTTTGTCTCTAAGAGCAAAGATCGAAAACATAATATACATTTTAACTAATGGATCAATTTTTGTCAACGGTCCACCCTTTTTCCCCTCTGTATTTTGTGTCTGAGCCCTAACGGCGTGTTCTTAGTGAACGGTGTTGCGCCTCAAAATTACTTACTTGTCCACGAAGTACGCCAGGTGCGTCTATCTCAATCTTGATTTCTTGGAGAGATAAACGTGGTTTGAAAGATATAATCAGTGCTACGACCTGATGACAACAACAGATTCCGAATACTACAGTTTGATAGGTACAAGGTTAAATGATTGCAGGTTAGATTTCACTGAAAACCACTGATTTAATGGTCTTTATCATTTAAGTAACCCGTTGCCACAACAGTTTCGAATAGGCCTACACGCATTTTATCGATAATTTTCAGTGTCTGCATATCATAACTTTCAACTTAAAGATAAAATCACAATTTTTCACCACATTTCTGGAAGATACTCTAGTAAGAGTGTTTATAAAGTCGATCAGCTACCGTGTCATTATAATTAACACTATGGAAGTCAATTCTATTTTCATCACATGTATAAATATCAGTATCTAACAATAACACTTGTAGCTGACATTTATTAAAATAAATGCGCTTTTTATGGGGGAGCAATTAGAGCCAATAGACTCAGAAGCACAAATAATTTTGATGTGCTGAATAATTAGATCCTATAATTTGAAATGCATTTTGTGCCTCAAATTAAAGCGCAAAATAGCTTTTAACTTTTGCAATTTGTAAAAGTTGAAGTTAACAGAAAATGCTTCCGTATTGAGATTATGGTTAGAAAGATGCAGTCCGTTACCTCATGAAGTACGAATACGAGTAAATTCTCGATCTGCCCGTTTTCGGATGTATAATTTTTGCTTAAGTTCAGAATAGCATTTCGCCTTTTTCCTCACTCAGTTTTACATTTGTACACCTTGTACGGTACTTATGATATATCAGGATGTGAATCGAAAAGATTACACCTTTTTCGTTTTCCTCAATCTTTAATTTAGATGGACACTATTTAGAGAATTTCTGTGCGTACAAGGCATGAAAACTAACATTCAAATTACACTAAAGTTAAGAAAGACAAAGTATTAAATTCCAACACCCCCCAAAATCAGTCTTCCCACATGTGAAAAAAAATCACATATGCCCAGATTTATTACTGGCATTTTAAAAGGACAGACCTGGTAACGGGTGTCATAAATCAAGCTTTGTTTACGTGGAAAATCGCATTTTTTGACGTTTTTTTAAAATTTTCTTCATCATTATTTTTTTCATAGTTGTCCTGTTTTAAATGATACCTTAAAAATTCTTTGTTTTATACTTTGTATTGAGGGTGACCACCTCGTTCTCAGTGTTAAGAATAACCCACTTGGTATAAGTCCATTCCACTCTAGGGTTAAAAGGTGGGGCGAGTCCATTCCACTCTAGGGGTGATACGTGGGGAGAATCCATTTCATTCAAGGGGATGGCAGGTGGAGTAAGTCTATTTTATTCAAGGGGTGACGCAGGGGCGGCTACGGGATCATTTGAAGGGGAGGTCCGCGGACCCGCTGAAGGGCCCCGAAGAAATTTAGTATTTCAGAGATTGAACGGTGCCATTTGGCACGGTATAGAAGTATTATTCAGCTAGTCAAAATTCTAATTTCAAGAGGGTACCATTGCTATGATTTTTTTCAGAACTCGGAGGGAGTGGGGTGGGCAGGACCCCCTGACACCCCACCAAATCCGCCACTGGAGACGTGTGAGGTGATTAAATTCCACTCCATTCAAGGGGAATGAGGTGGAGGGAGCCCAGTCTTAGACCCCATTTCCAGAGATTAGATCGATCTACTTTAGATCGACCTAACCCTCTGGGGGTTCACGCTAAACAGCTGTCAGCCGGGCAGACGCGGAATTTAATTACCCCCTTGCAGCTTGCAGTAGGCGGGACGGACATTTAAGCCGGATTTTCTGACAGTAATCTAGTGAGTCTCCCCGCGGGGATAGATCGATCTAAAAGCTCTGGGAATACAGCCTTAATGTCAAATGGACATGCTACCAAATAGCAACTGCAAACTAATTCATTATTCAAAGAAAATTGTAAACTTGTAGTATACACTTTTATTTACCATATTCATAACAGTTTCAGGAAAAAGAATGACTGTTAATAACAGTGGTTTTAATTTCTGAAAAAACATTTTATACATATATGAATAATTATATATGAATGCACCTTCAGAAAATTGCAACTTCATCGAGTTGTGAAAAAAAGTGATTATTCCAAATGACATCTGTCTACACCAACACTTTGTTCAAACAAAAACATTTCACTCAAATTTTTACTTGAAAGACCAGCTTTTACCTAAGATGACCCAAAGTGCAAAAGCATTATACCTGTGTAATCATGGAAGCCCAAAATGATTGTGTCAATATTGTGGTGGGGTAGAGAAATACCTTACTTCTCACCAGGTAAAACTGCATTCAAAAGTTACTTCTACAGCCAGAGGAAATCATAAAGGGAAAAGTCACCCATGAACTAAAATTTCAGTATTGATTTAATTCTAACATAAAACTAATTACCAATTCATAAAAGACTAGATTTAGAGTTAAAGCATGCATGCAAACATTAATCTGGTCTAGTTTCCACTACTTGAACTTCAAAAAATCTCCTCCAAGTTCATTATCAGTTAATGTATAATATGAAGACAAAACTGAAAACAATTTGCTTGTTTGCTTAATGACATAGAAATTGCAGCTCATTCCTGCAAATATTGCAGTATAAAACAACTATTTCTTATTAACCACATAGGTTTAAAACAGTTCTGTCAAGAGCTACTGTTTATCTCACCCGCTGAATATGTTCTATAATTTTCAGATCTAAATCCCTGTTATAGGCACGGCGAGGGTTCTGTGGCTATGCTCCCATATGGATTTTAAGCACGAATACTTTGATATTTATAGAAAGAGTACACAAACCTGACAACAGTTAGAAAGTAAACAAACACCAGCAGTTTTGAAGCAGAAGGAAAAAAGAAAATAGTCAATTTGGGTTCTTCCCCACTGTCTTCACTTGAAAAATACACATATCAACAAATAATAATGCTCCTTTGGAAGAATTCATGAGAGAAAAATTCTCTCCAATCACCATCCTTGGAGCAACACAAAAAAACAAACAAAAATAACAGGGTTACTGTTGCTAAAGGATCATAAAGCAGCTTTTATGTTTATAAACAGCATCTATAATTTTTGTCTTTGTGATGAATTTATCATAATTTATCCCATCGACTGCTGCTGCTGCTCTCTTGTCCATTCCACAAATTCATCTAATAAAACTGGCCCTGAAAAAAAGTAAAACATTTTTCAAAATAAGAATTTTTTTTTTCAAGTTAATTTTGTGATCACACAGAAGTTGTTTTACATGATTAAATCAAATGGGTTGCAATTAAACTTCTTTTTATTTCAGTTTAAATTCCCTATGGGCGATTGAAAAAAAAAAAAGAAATGAATAACTCACAAGCACCATCTTCATCATAATTGGACAGGTCTGGTTTGATTGTTCTGCTGAACTCCAGGACATTGCACCACTGGTCTTTGTTCATTACTTTATATTTGGATTGCTGAAATAACAGGGCAATGTTCATATAAAACCATTTCAAAATGTCTCTGGCATACAAAATACCATAAAGATCTACAGTTCATAGCTTATGGCATGTTCTACTCTTATTTGTATGCTGCTGAACATATATTGGCAATGTTTTGTAGTGAAGAATTCTGGAATTTATTTTGGTTAGAGAAAATATATGCTTGAGACATTCTTAAATTTCTTATTAGTCAATCATAGAAAAAACACTGACCAATAAAAAGAATTACGAGACCACAGTTTAATTTCGTGAACCTGTTGCTCACATTTCTGGTATTAGAAAAGTGGAGTTTCATCATGGGAGTGGAAATTTAAACAGTCCTGATTCTTGACAGAACTGTTTAAAGTAAATTATAGAATCTATACTTTTTTAATGTCTCACCTCAAGGAACTGATTAAACATGCCAAACATGGGCCACTTTTTACCCAGCAGTAGCCCCAGCATGGCCTTAGCTGTCTCTATGTCAATACTGCGTTGGTCTTTATCCTAAAAAGACATGATCCACTGGGTTATACTCTCATAAACATACATTGATTGCTCTCCTTTGATCTGTTAAGCAGAAATATCTTAAATAATCAGAGGTATTTTTTTGTGAAAGTTCTTACCAGACATAGAAATCGAGAACAGAGATAAAATAAAATCACATCCATAACTAATATTTTCATTAAACAAATTGTAGAAGTATAACATCAATCTATCAGCATTGGAAAAGTTTGGCTACAGATTCAATAGGGCACAGGAAACTAAATTTGCCAAAATTTATAATAGTTTTTTAAAATTTACCCTTGCAAAATCAAATGCATATCTGTATATAGTTTTGAATACTACGTGGTCCTCCAGTAGTCCTCTCAGGTAGTCTAATTTCTGTTGGAGCTTCTCCACATTATCACATCTGAAAAAGTGATGTTCAAACATTATTAATTGATCTGATTTGATTATCTTATTGATGCACTCCCTAGAAAATCAGATAACCAGAATCAATAATTGAGAAAAAAAGTGGTGTAACACTACTTCATGCTATATATCATACTTATTAAATAATTGGCTCTAGCATTCAACTGGTGTCAACAAGAAAATGTACTGGTGCATTTTTTGCCATAACAGCTGACAAAGGCTTATTTAATTTTCTTTAACTACGAGCACTTTTTTCATATATGTATTACTTTCATTAAATATAAAGAAGCTGTCCTATGTTCAAAATGGACTAGTTTATATCAATATTCCTTTTCTGGATGCATTTCCTTAAAAGGCAGGTTTATTTAAGAACAAAGACAAAAGACTGAAGCAAAAGTCCCCACCCCCACTCAACCTATGCCTTCTAAATATAAACCAAACACTTTTTACAATGGACAAATGCCTATACTAACTGTAAGTCTGACATTCCTTTCAGCCACTCAGCCAGAGTGAAGAAGCCCATATTTTTTATATACTAACTGTAAGTCTGACATTCCTTTCAGCCACTCGGCCAGAGTGAAGAAGCCCATATTTTTTATATACTTACTGTAAGTCTGACATTCCTTTCAGCCACTCGGCCAGTGTGAAGAAGCCCATATTTTTAGCATCCAGCTTCCATGCAAGAGACAACATCACAATCTAAAAAAAAAAACAACAACAACAATAATAACCCTTGTTATTAGCACTGAGGTAAAAATTCTACTTTTTTTCAAACTACAAAAAGGCCACACTTGTACACCAGGATGGTAAAGGACAAGTGAAATAGACCACAGTGCTAGAGATCCTAGCTATAAGCCATAATTAAGAATGATAAATTATACAAAAGTTTAACAAAAATAAACATTAACTCTATAATTTTAGAAAACCCAATTTTATGA